TCTGAATCTTGAATCATCATATACCTATCAGCTCCAAATCAAAAGTTGAGATAGGGAAATGTAAGTCGTTCTCACCAATAATAAACAATAGTTTCGACACAAAAAGAAACCTGGAATTGAGAAATCTCGTTTTGATAAAATCGGCTCTCCAATAAGAAGAACACTAAAATTCAATTATATACAGGGTGTCATATAGCCATCATCAGCTGATATCTTGAAATTCGAATACGTTATAGATATGAAAACAATTTTGTGGAACAACAATCAATTGTATTTGAATTTTCTCTACATATCTGACGTTTCGCAAATATCGCAGGAGAACACACTTTTGACTCACCTCACTCCGTCTCACTGAATATAAGTGGACAGGTTTGAAACATTGGTATGGGGCGAACATATCAAGTACCCAGGTACCCAGGCACAGTGACCTAAGCAGACGTCAAAATGTTGTCGTTTCTTCGTCCAACATTCTTTCGTATTACCGAATAAAAAAATCAGTGATTATCTCACTTTTTCATACTTTTCAACATTTCAGTTCGTATATACGTTTTTCTACAATGTGAAGCTTCATTTGCCAACTTTCGGTAAGTTGTTTTCAAGCTTTTTTTATTCCGCTTCCATCTCGCCGACGCTCCCTACACAATTTCAGTTACGAATATTAATAGCTAATGTTTCACTAACATAGATATGCGAACTAATAATAACGCCAGGATCTAAGATCAAACACCCGGAGAGACTCATCAATGGATATCATCAAAGGTTAGTGTGTATAATATTATGTTTCCATAATACCTCATAATATGTCTATATATACCCTAGATTCCATTAATGATATAGTCCTTCATAGGTCATCTCTAAGACGTCATTTCAACGTCTCTTTATGGCGTCTTATGTCTGTGACATTATGACGTCTTTTCGAGGCCTTCAAGACGTCATTCTTTGTCGTAAATTGGTCAGGTCTGTGATCTAATTAGGGCGTCCTTTGGACATCACTGTGCTACCTCGGAGATCGAGAACTCAAAACCCCACAGCTCAGAGCGCGGCACACAAACTGAGAATCTTCACGAATATAATATAGCAGTTGGTCAGAAGGGCACTTGCATGACTTGGAATTCTGATGGTACTAGCGCATGTACACTGTGTCCCATTTTGATTGAGACTGCACTTTATCTCAGCTATTATTGAAGATAGAGACATGCGGTTTTCGCAACCTTGTATCACTTTTTTGTGAAACTTTCAGACCCACAAACAGAAATATTTCAACTACTTTTGTTCCCGTAATACAGGACGAAAACGAAAATGTTCACTTTTGGAGATGTTATAATTTCCCAGGCCCTTTCTGAGATGGAAATAAAGTTGAAACTGCTCATAATAGATATTTTCACATAAAAGTCAGTGGCGTATTCTGATTTTTTTCTCAAAGCATTGTTCTCAAGATTGGGCACAAACCGAGGCACGAAATTGGTATTTTTCAAATGGATCACCCTGTATATTTTGAAGTCAGTTTTTCGATTTTTTTTCCTGAATACACTGATATAGCACAACCTTATACTCATCACATTTTATCTTCAGAAATCATAAAAATCCATATTTGGGTTTGATTTTTCAATAGTAGGCCGTGAATTCTTTCACACATACATTTATTTATTACTTTTTGAAAACGCCATGTGATCGAAACCTTTTCATTTGAATGAATTCTGATTATAATTTCAAAATATCACCCTTCAACATGAACTCAAAAATGATGGAAACAAAAAAGATATATCGGTACAGATTTATCATTGAGAACTGTAATTACAAGAATCAAATTATAAAACTCATTACAAAACCAAAAAACAAAAAAATATAAATCTAATAAAATTGTTTAAACTTTCGTCCATTTCGTCTTATACATTAACCACATACAATTTCAATTCACCTGGAAGCATTTGAAATTATGATGGGTTGCCTTTGTAAGTTTCTGAATGCTTCTTCGGTTGAGGCTCGGAGTTCATCTATCATCAGTATGCCGATTTGCATAAATTTCATTTTTTAAGTATGACCAAACGTAGAAGTCTGAAATACTCCTTCCGATGACCTCGGGGGCCATCTGTTTGGCCCAATTCAGCTTCTGCTGAAATGAGCATCCAAATATTCTGTAGCTACCCTTGAATTATATGAGCGGGCGCTCCATCTTGCTGGAAATATTTGAATTCCAACCAGAAAACCGTAGCCCCAGATGGCTGATGTCTTTCTGGAAACCTTATGAGATCTTCATTTCTTGAATTTTGTAACAAAATTAAATATGCCGATTCTTTACCTGTTTGAATATAACTGCATCGCTGCTTCGACATTTTCGTTAGAAAGGTTCAAACATTTTATAATATCATACTCCATTCCATGTTTTCACCGTCAGCCATCATTATTGATTTGTATTGACAGTTTTCATGGATGCAATGAACAAAACATTTTTTTATGCATGTGTAGAAGAATGGGCGTGTACACCTTAGTAGAACTTTTAACTCAAACCATGTTTATAATGATCCTTTTATACATAAATAATGATTGACGACATAATTCGATCGAAAAATTATCTGAAATGTTTTATTTTTGGACATAAATAATAGTACCTTCAAAAAACGGACCCTCTTGAGACGTTGAAACCTCATCTCGCCATAGTTGAAAGAAAATACCAAACGCCCGAAGGAGACTGAGGCAACTGATATATTAGTTCTTTCAACTGTGATCTCGCGCTAATTCACTTTGTCAGAAATCATGTATCATTCATCTCTGTCTGGAATAGTCTTGTTTCAGTATTAGGGTTTCGACGTCACATCATCGCCTCGTTTTCAGAGGTCCGAAAAATCGGGGATTTCAATAATTTTTTATAAAACGTAGAGAGCTCACAGCAAGAAACGGTTTGCGGTGGTGGGCTAGTTTGGGTGAGTTCTATCGGATTATGAAATAAAAATGTTTTGTGACATATGCCCATTCATGGCCCACTATTAAAAAAACTAAGATAGATATGGATTTTTATAATTTCTCAAGATAGCATGAAATGATGATCAGGTTGTGATATATCAGTGTTCTCAGAACGAAAATTGCAAGAAACTCAGGTTTAAATATACAGGGTGTTCCATTTGAAAATAAACCAAGTTCGGACCCAATCTTGAAAGCAGTGCTTTGAAAAAAATCAGAATACGCCACTGACTTTTATGTTGGAATATCTATCATAAGCAGTTTTGATTTTTTCTCATCTTATACAGGGCTTGAGAAATAATAACGTCTCCAAACGTGAACATTTCCGTTTTCGCCCTGTATTTCAGGATCGTGGGTAGTTGAAATATTCCTGTTCGTGGCTCTGAAAGTTTTACAAAAAAGTGATACAGGGTCGCGAAAACCGCATGTCTCTATCCCAACCAAAATGGGACACACAAATCCTAACATCATAATGAAATCGTGGTCAGTGGGAGAAGTTCCGTTGGGCGTGGGCACCCGAATAATATATCGGAGATTTCCAAATGGCGTATAACCACAGGTGAGCTGTCACCTGCACCAATCGATTTGATTGTCTTCATCGAAGAAGTCGCTCAGTGCAAGTGATTTTGTCTCAGAAAAATAATGTAATAATGGTGAACATTCATTAACCCAGCACTACTGTTTTCATCTATGATAAGCGACTTCAAAATGCATATTGATCTGGTTGATTCCAAAGAGTGTCCTGATCACTTACTGCAGAAGCATTTTTCCAGAAATATTGTTTTGCCCACTTCAAGGTTGGAAAATGGGATTTTCCAACAGTTGGTGAACATGTTCTTGTCACAATCGAATTTGTTTCGAGAAACCTTATCAACTTGGTTGAGTTCAGTGTGTGAACTATGTTACAAAATGAACAATTGAAGTGTCTGACTTCTATAACGTTCGCTCCATGAGTTGCATTGGAACATATATGTAGTTGAAGATGAGGTAGAAAGGTAGCGTTTCGATGTAAGCTAGTTAATTATATTTGAAAATGAAAAAGTTTCACTCTCTCCGCGTACGAGGAAATATTGGTGGTTCAGAACAGCAATTCCTTCAGTGTCATATGAACTGAAGACGAACAAATCCCACAAAAAAAATATATCTTGGTCACTGACGAATGATATAAATTAAATCTGAACTCAATAGATAGCTCCTATGAATGATACAATATCAACAAAAATGCTGGGTCCTGTATCTCGAATGAAAACAGTGATATCGTCAAATAACGATTCTTTGTTGATATCCTTCATGTCTGAAATGATGCGTCTGCGACACCGTGGTTATGGTTTTTGTTTGAGAATTCATAGTAAAAAAAATCGAAACTCAACTCCTGGGAACAGTGTATTGAATCACCCAATATATCCTGAATAAAACCAGGTGAGATTGTTGATAATTTTCAAAAGTAACGATGAACCCTACAATAAGATTTCCGTACGTCAACGTGATTCTCTTTAAATATGAATCAATATATGTTAAATCATACCCGTCTTTATCCTGTGATATATCACCTGTTCTTGGGCTTCCAAAAACTCATATGTGAAACTTTCGGAACGATCCAATTAGATTCAGAAAACGATATGTGATTTCGCAACCTTCTAGATGCAGAATGTCGAATAACATTCACATTGCAGATTTGATCAGTTGTTAAGTCAATCGAATTGATATGATGATTTACGACTAGTTAAAATAATTATATTCATGTTGAACAGGAACGGTATAATCCTCGCAGATAATGTCAAGAAATTAATTTGATCGAGGCATTGAAATATCCATTACCAACTAACATAGAGTTCCTGCTTGAGTCGCATCGTGTGACCTTTCCGCAAGAGAAGAAATGATTCTGTAATCGTTGCACATCATCGTGATTATAAAAATACGAATCCCACTAAAAATTGCGATGTAATTTTTCAAAATAAAGATGCGTTGCAACTCAAGCTCGTTGATATTTTAATATTAGTCACTATTACGTAAGACCTATTCATATTTCAGCTATTTTATAGATTCTCACCTGTGCTGTGCGTTTATTTGGCGTTGGTGTTGTGCAAGAACATGTTCTCCACTAAGAGTTTCGTCGTTTTGATTGCACTCCTGATTCATTATGTCCATTCGAAGCCTGCAGAGGGTGATGCTGCTGCGCAGACTATCAAGTTCGATAATGATTTGAGGCTGGATGGATACAACTTTGGGTATGTTATTTTTGAATTCATCTTCTGAACCAATACAAGTCATCGTTATACAAGTCTACAGATTGAAATAGTTCGATGGATTAATTGGCGAAACTGCTCGTAATATACAGACTGTATCAAGAGAACCGTTGGTCAGCCAGATTTGAAAAATGCTTTGACCGACCCTACTGTAACTTGAATAAATCAGCGAATGAATAGAGGGCTCTTCAGCTGTAAAATTTGAAAACTCCTTCGCTCATCCCGGAAGTGATTGGGTGGTCCGGTGAAAGCGCAAAGGCTCTGGGTTTGTATGGAAACTCCGACCAAGCCCTACTTAGGCCATATATGTTTGTGAATGTATGCTTTTCTGACCCTGCACTAGTTTTGACCCATCGGGCTTCTGTTCCAGTGCTGGGACGAATGAGTGAATGCAATTTAGAAAAAAAAATTCAAATAGAACACCCTATATTTCATGATATAAATAGAATCAACGGTTCATTTAGCAATGTTCTCTAAGAGTCACCAGGTTATTGCATTTTTTGATAATTCCCACAATAACGATTATCACAGAAACTCAAATGGAGAGAAGGAGGCAGCAGCCAATTCATCCAGATTGAGCAAAACGCAATATGATGAGGAGTTGGTGTTTTCGAATGAACATGCAATATTTGGCATAAAATATAGAGGAACCAATGAATTCCTGAGTGATTTCTTGTAACCTCTCACGAAACCCATTGTTTCTTATTGCTTTGCTATGATCGAAGCAGGAAATTCAATTATCAAATATGGCATGGCATTAACACAACCAGCTGAACTCAATCAAAGGGAGATAAATATATCTGGTATTTTCGGAAGTCGTCGTTGTAGTAGAGTTCTCTGGTTTCAAGGTAAGATAAACCAGTTTATGCTCAGCTGTTCGAAATATCAGGTGTTTCTTGGAAAACATCTCTTTTTCAAATCAGGCTTAACACGTTGAATGGCACGTATGGCTGGAGTAGGAGGCTCTAAGAAACCAAGGCTAGTTTTCAGTGAATTATCATTCCTTAAAGCGTAATTTGTGAATATATGGTCTTGCTAATTCATGCTGACGTTTTCAAGGTCACCAGCAGCTGTCCAATTTACTGCACAGCGGGCTATATTTGGGGTTTCAGCATGTATAGCCCGCCGTCCAGTAAATTGGACATACACGTATCAAGAAAAGAAAACAGAACTAAGTACATTACTCAATTATTTGCTTTATTGCATACAGAAGAATCAAAAATAGAAATGAATCTAGGTATGAGAAGCCTAAATGGACGATGAATGCCAATTTTTGAAGCAAGGATAGACACGAAGACCAGGTTTTTCCGGGCAAACAGAGCAAAAATATCTAGTTTTCTTTTTTTCCTTCATCTTTGAGCATTAGCGGTATCTTTTCATTGCGGAGTTTTATTTCTCTGTGGCTGGATTCGACTCCAAAAAATGAAATTAGTTTGTTCTTGTTGTTTCGGCTTGAGGAGTTCCAACAGAAGCTTTTATTCGCTGATCTATAAGCTTTATGATTACTTTTTCACGGAAGTCCGAAAGTATGATATTCTCTTCCTGATGAAGTTTATAAATGTAACAAGCACATACACAAATCCACCGAATGGGAAAAAAAATTGCGGTACCACCTAAAGGTTTTTCTTGGAGTGGAATAATACATCATTTGGTCGGAGCGGTCACTACTTGACATGTGTTTATTATAATCAATAACACATGTAGGTTTGATATTCTCATTATTAGCTGTCTTTCCTTGAATTTCAACCATCGAATGTCTATTATGCAAAGTACTTATCATTCGGACATTTCTTCCATCTTTCCAGTTAGTGTTGATAGAACGGATAGAACAATTTTAGAACAATTTTAGAACAATTTTTTAGTTAGCAAAACTGGTCCCTTCCTTTTCCATAAAACTTCACCTTTTTTCAGCCTGCATGTTGCCAGATTCATTCTAATATTTTTATTCCAATTGCTCAAAAGAGAAACTATATCCCGTACTATACACATTAAACCAACTCCGTGGCCCGACGACAGAAGATAGAGAATATATAAATTAACTGTTCTGATGCGTGATTCGCAAGAATGACACTCGAATCTAGTAGGTATTCATCAATAACGACTTGTCATATCATGCATACTAGATTTCAACTAGAATTGAAATGCAGTGCTCTCACTGCTTTCCTAGTGACAGTTGAAATGTATCGCTAGTGGTGAAATAGTATAAATTATTGTTTGACGGGTACGGAATGATAGTGATTCCCCACGAGAATAGAGTTTTGCAGCTTGGGCCTTAGGCGAATGCTGCAATCATTCGAGTGAGAAATCATAATTTCGTGCGAGTTGAACATTATACTTTTCTTACGGCTGTAAAAGATAACAGTGGAATTTTTGAATTCTTCGAATTGTATAGCCATCTGATCTGTTCATAAGTAATGCTCATCTATCTGACAGAACTATCATTACTCCAATTTTGACATGCCATCGAGGATGGGATTTTTTTGAAATGATAACACAATGAAGTCATTGTGATATCCGATAACATAAAAAGTACGACATTGATTGAGCGAACCTAGTTAAACAAGAGTGATTTTGTGTTATAGCCGTATAAGAAGAAATGATCAACACCTTGGTATTTGAGAATTTAATTACCACGGAACCTTATACCCCTCTGTTGAAGCGTCGGGATATAATCTTGGTCCCTGGGTGATACTGATATTATTCACTACCTTGGTGTATTCGAATAACTATTTCATATCAATACAAAAATACAAAACATGTGCTCGTGGAGGTTACCTGAGAAATGAGAAGTAAAATGTACTCGAACAATTATATCTGAAAATTATCAGTCCTTATTAATAGGAATAATGAATGCAAACTACCTATCGATTCAAAAATACTGCCTGGTAGATTAATAGAAGAGGTGTAAGGTTCATTTAACTGAATAATTTGATGAGTTCTTCTCCTCATTTCTAGATATGCAAATATTTGTATCATCTATATCCCAATAATATATCTGCGAGAAGGGCAAATCAGATGATTTGTCATAAAATGTCACTGTGCATGATGGTTGAATAAATGCACTATCGGTAGTTGAAAAATTCAATCGGAACTTATTGACACTCTGTTTGAAACATTTTTTTCTAAAGAGAAAGAGGAATATAGGTAGGTATATTGAAACCATATCAATTGGTTCATTTCCATATGCGAAGTCTATCAGGATATAAATGATAATAAACTTAGGGATATCTAAATACAATGAGCCATACCTATGACATTACATCTCCTAGTAGTAGGTATGATAATTATTGATACCAAGGCATCAAGATAAATTGATAATAATAATGTGCACACCTGAAGAAATCAATTGAAAGCCTCTGCAAGACTTTCCGTCTTCATTGAAGTTCTCAGTATCCACAATTTCGAAAGTCTGCTCATGTTCTTCTTCGTGTTATATTTGTTCATTTTGTTCAATCTCAATGTCATCTGATTTCAAAATTTCCACGATACAGTTTTCAATATTCGTGCTCCCAATTTCGATGACTTCAATATTGAATGAAGAAGATTCATGTATATTATTGATGAATATCAGAAGCAAGTGAAAAATAACTCATTCACGATGTTCTTTGAACATTATAGGAATTACCTTTCGTGCGCTCCAAGCGATGAAAAAAAATTTTGAATTCAAATTTGTTATGCTCCGTGAATGGAATTTGATCATCTAAAGCTGACATGATTTTTCAAAAATCTTTGGTAGAAGCTCTTGCTCCTAAATTAGCAATGCTTTTTTCTTCAGCACTTATTCGAATTATAGGCCAATCTGTTGTTTTTCTTTTCTTCCAGAGATCTTATTATAACAAGTGAATGTTCAATGACTTCTTCTGAAGAACTTTCAAGGGAGATGACAGATTCCAGTCAGGCATTCATCACTTCCAGTCTGTTTTTTTTAAATTTCAGTCCCTATACGAGGACGCCATTCTTCACAGATATTCCAAATATACTTTTTGGTTATTCCCTCTACAATTTTCATCTGAACTGGTCGAAACAATTGTCATTTGTTGCATATACTATATCTTGTAACATCTGTAAGGCGAAAATTCTTGATATTTTAAAAGCAAGAAAAATGCATATGGGGTTGTTAGCATCAGGGAAACATTCTCTCAGTATTTCTCGCTTAGTCCAGTCCTTGTCAGCCATCACATTCTTAATATTCATCCATGATAGATTCAACTATTCCAATTTAATCAGTAAACATCTCACACTGGCCTTATCTTTCTGTCTGTAGGTTAATCGAGGAGGTGGTACATTCATTATTCCAAATTTTTTGGGATTTTCTCTCCTCGTTTCTATAAAATAAAAATATGAATATTATTTCAATATACGTGTAGTGAGGACAAATCAGATGATTTGCCCCAAAATGTCACTGCGTTCAAAGAATTTTCCTATCAGAGAGCCTTTGGAAAGTTTTATACAGGTGAAACCAAGAGACCTCTTTCAGTAAGGGACCCAGAAAAATTCAGATTCAAGAATAATTCGTACATCCCTGGGACGGTTGTCCTATGGATGTCCTGGGGATGTCCTCTGTAGTACTTGATGAAGAATACTGTAGGATTCAGGTTTTCGACAGTTGTCCCAGGGACATCCCTCAAGGACGTCCTTAGTTGTTCCTCAAGTGGGACATTTGTGCGTCCAACAGACGTCCAATGGACGTCCACGGTACCAAATTCGAATGTCCTATGGACGTCCTGAATGTTCCGACAGGGCGTCCTAAGGATATTCATGGGACATAAGTGTGTTATTAGGGATATGCAGGGTGGATCATATACAAATTGAAGTAGATAATTTCATATCTCTTGATAATTCCATAAAATTAAAGAAAACTGTTCACTTGATACGGAAAGATGACTCTCATAGTATATGAATTGGGACAATTTTTGATATTTGAATCAATTCAAACCACGAGAGAGAATGAATCATCAGAGTTCGAAAAAACAGCAACGATG